GAGGGGGGGGGGGGGGGGGGGGGGGGGGGGGGCACACGCAGAGCCTTGCTGCACTCACATGGCCAGCGAGGACTGGATGCTGTAGTCCACCAGCAGCTTGGCCACCACGGGCTGCAGGTCCTCCTGGGTGCTTTGCCTGCCAAGGCGGGGGGGGAAGTCAGTGTCTCCCAACAGCCCCCAGACAACATGGGGCAGCCCCGCACCTCTCCAGAAGGAGCCAGGGGGTCCCCGTCCTGCCCATCCTCCCTGGACCAGTAACACCACCAGCTACAATCCTGACCCACCACCAAGCCAGAGAGGAGCCCCCATCGCTCCAGACACCCTCATCCCAGCCCATTCCCACCCCCCGGGGGCCACTCACGTGGACAAATCCAGCCACACCGAGATCTCCCGCGTGTCCAGCATGATCCCGATGGCCTCGAAGGTGATGATCAGCTCTGCCTGTGGCACAGAGGGACCATGGAGCAGCTCAGCCAGACCCCGAACCCCCCAAAAAGGGCTTGGGGGGGAGGGAGGGGGAAAGCACTCACCCTCTGGTTCCTCTTAAAAGGGTTGCCCAACTCGCACAGCACCGTCTCCCCAAAGGTACAGGCTCCGCTCTGGAGAGGAGGAAGAGGGTGAGGAAGGTGCTGGCAAAGCCCACCAGGGTCTCCCCCACCTTCTAGGGAAGGGGACGGTGTCGCCTACCGGGCGGACGGAGGAGGGCAGGAGGTTGGGTGGCACGGTGACGTTGAGCAGGGCCTCGTGGGCGTCCTCGCCGATGGAAGGGGTGGTGGGGACATTGGTGATGTTGATGCTCAGGTAGAGCTTCCGCACGTCCCGGCTGTACTGCAGCACCTGGGTACCGTTCACCCTGCGCAGAGACCTTCCCCGCTCAGCACACGGGTGGCCCACCCCAACACAGCCCAGGGTAGAGGCTGAGGGGTGACTCGTGGCCGAGGGGGATGGCATGGGGGGTGGCAAAGGTGGATGGGGACCAGGAGGAACCCGCTGTCACCTGGGTAAGGACTGGTTCTGGTCGGTGACGAAGCTGCTCTGGAGCTGGAGGTTGCTGTAGCACTTGTTGTCGGAGCCACACTCCTTCTGGAACTCGACCTGGAGGGACGGGGACGTCCCCATGAGCCTTCTCCCACCCCCACGGTGGCTCACCCCAGCATCTCCATCACCCCAGCATCTCCATCACCCCACCGGCACCTTGGTCTCGTTCTTGTGGGACTGGTCCTGGTTGAGGACTGGGAAGGCGTCGAGGGATTCGGGACCCAGCTGGAAGGTCCTGGACTTCTCCTTCAGGGAATAGTTCATGGAGAGCACGATGGGGTGCAGCTTGTCCCGGATGTTCTCCTGTGGGGTGGCAGAAATCATGGAAAATTCCTGGCTCCCACCCCGGCCCTCCCTCCAGCTGCAGCCACATCTGGGGCTCCAGCTCCTGCTCATGAGACCCAACAAACTCATCACAGGATGGATACTCGGATGGATGGATGGATGGATTCCCACCTCTTCTCCTGGCCCCGTTGTTCCCAAGACCCTCCACACACCCCCCCATCCCTCTCCCCATCTCCCAGGAGCCGCCCCCCCAGTTCCAGCCCCACATGCAGAGCATCTTGCAGTGCACAGCAACCATACACGCGCTCACACACGTGTGCGCTCACACACGCTCACCAGCAGCAGGAGCTCCTGGGATTGGCAGTCGGTCTTGGGCATAGGGAAGGTGCCGCGGTAGGTGGCAGATTGGGTCCCCCCAAACCTCACCCTGGGGGGGTGCCGGTCCTTGTCAGCCTCCAGCGTGTACTCCAGGGCTGGGGGAAGAGCGCAGGGCTGGGGGTGTTGCACACGCGTGTGCCTCCAGCACAGCCCCTTGTGTGCACGCATATCCCCTGCACACACACCTGTGTGCATCCCCACGCACCTGTGTGCATCCCCACGCACTAACACGTGCGCATCTTCCCCAAATGTGTACTCACACACAACCCCTGCACACACACACGTGTGCATCCCCACACAGACACACGTGCACATCCTCCCCAAACGTGTGCTCACACACATCCCCCTGCACATACGCACACACGTGTCCCCCCCAGGTGTGCTCACATCCTTGCACGCGTGTTGGTGGACACCCCCTCCCCCCCCGGCACTCACTGATGTTCTCCTTGTACTTGGGGTCCCCAGCGCTCTGGTTGTAGGCGAAGCAGACGGTCACCGTGATGCTGGGGGGGGACGGGACACAAAGGGGCTGTGAGCGGAGCTACCGGCACCGGGGTGCCACGAGGGGGGACCGGCTGCACCGGGGAGGGGGGGCTCACCAGGACTTGGAGTTGCACTGGGCAGGGTCCACCTTGCTGGGGGTCACCGTGAAGATCTTGTTCAAGATGTTGATGACGGGCCGAGCTCTGGGGAGACATGGCGGGGGGGGGGGGGGGGAGCTGAGCTTCCCCCCTCTCCAGCCTCTCCTTGCCCGGTGCCAGCTCCCGGGGAGGGGGGGGCACATCGTTCTGTGCCCACACCGGCAGAGGCAGGATGTGTCCCAGGGAGGTGGCAGAGGGCTGCAGGACCCCCG